AAAAGCCATACGTGGAAATGTGTGTGTGAGAAGGTGCATCTTGAAGCAGGGTTTAGTTACAATCGATCTTGGGGGGAAAATATTGCCTATGGTCCAAAAATAAGGAGCAACTATGTCCTTCTCTCAGTTCGGATACCCCTACAGCACCACTTCACAGGTAAGGCGAGTGAGCAGCACTCACTTTTGTTCAGATTCCGCTGCTGCTGTCCAGATGTCTTGTTCCCCCCTCCCTTTTTTTTCTTCCCTTTCCCTTACTTAGAGTCTTTTTTTAAAAGGGCACATCTGGAGCCTTTTTTTAAAAAATGTGCGTGTGTGTTTATGTCTCGTTTGTGTTGTGTTAGGCTCGAACAAATAACTCTCAGCGTGCACAGCAAAGGCGTTTAGGAAAGCGGCGATTCCTCCTTCCTCCCCCCCCCCTTCCCCTCCACCGTTCAGTTTTAAGTGCAACAAACAAATAAATACATAAATCCCGGCTGCGATGGCTTTCCCAGCCCGCGGAGCTGCCCCCGCCGCCGGCCGGGCACCCGCGGAGGTTGCGCGGGCAGGGGGGAGAGCGGCTCGGCGGGCGCGGGATTTCACCAGCGTTTCCGCGGAACCGGGGCCGTGCCGGTTTCCCCACCCTTCCTCCCCGGGTCGGTCCTTTTCCTGTGTTTTATTAGGATCTGTCGGGAGGGTTGGTTGGTTTTTTTTTTTTTTCCCCCCTATACGATTTCCGAGGGACACCCCCCACCCACACCCACCGCGAGGCACCCTCTGTTCACTAAGCCGTCTCTGTACCGTACCTCGAAGTCAGGATTTATTTGGGTGGAATTATTTATACATCCTAATCACTGCAAGATGTGCCTCCCTGGCTCGGGAAGTTAGCTGTCCCCTTATTGAACTTATTGAAATCAAATGCCTTCGATTGCGTTAGCTGACATATTTACTGCTTTGTCTATTGTCAAATTAACTGTAATCGCAACTTCTTGCCGTTAAATCAATGCGAACGGGCCGAGCAGGGGCGGGAAGGAGGGACCCGTACGGATCTTTTGCCATTTTCCACAGCAATTATTTCCTTAAAGTTTTGCCTGCTTGATTAATCGTGACCCCCCACCCCCCCACCCCTTCCCAAGGGCTCCCGCTTTCCATCCCGTTTATTTCACCGTTTCCATAATTAGTTGCTT